TACTTCGACCTACGCTGGAAAGAGGCAAGGCTGGTGCTCATCAGCAAAGGGAAGAGTTAGTCGGATTCACCATTGGCTCTTATGTATGCTTGACACTGCAGAAAAGCTCTTAGAGAGGCTACTGAGATCCCGACTACAAGCGGCTGTAGAGGCGGTAGAAGGGCTAGCATAGCGAAAGTATGGCTTCAGGAGAGGACGATCAACCATCGATGCTATCCGGGAGGTGGTTGAAGCAGCGAAGACCACAGAACAGGAAAACACTATTCTCGCCCTATATGACTGATGGTCACTGTTGACATCAAGAACGCGTTCAACTCCGTGAGATGGGAGAACGTCAAGTACCCACTGGAGCATGACTTCTGAATCCCAAAGTACCTTCTGGCAATCCTGGGGAACTATCTCCAGGATCGTTACTTGTTGTATGAGACTGAGGAGGGGCAAGTGCGAAGAGAACTCACAGTAGGCATCGCACAAGGCTCAGTGCATGATCCGGAGTTATGGAACGTCCCGTACAATAGGATTTTTTACTAGGCAACAATGCCAGAAGGTACTTTTCTAAATTGTTACGCAGACGACACTTTTTTCGGTCTTGGGTTATGCGGCAGCTTCCATTGGTATGATTGACATTTAGTTTCCATATCATAGCCATAAACCCATGATTCATCACCAGTTATGACCCTCTAGAGCACATTTGGGTCGTCACGGACCGAGTCCAACATCTCCTGAGCAATGTTAACGCGATGCTGCTTTTGGTCGAAATTGAGCAGTTTTGGCACGAATTTCGCGGCGACTCGACTCATGCCCAAATCATTGGTTAAAATCGAATGGCATGAGCCAATCGATATGTTTAGATCCTCAGGAACTTCTCTAATGATGATTCGACGATTGGCCAATACTATTTCCTTTACTTTATCAATGTTTTCGTCTGTTGTTGACGTGCTCGGGAGTTCGGTACATTGTTCGTCGTTCACATCTTCTCGGCCGTCTGAAAATATTTTTACTACCAATAAACGTTGCTTTGGTCCAAGGTAACTTCACAACTATTACAAAACAGGATTCCGCTTTTCAAGACGAAAGAACCTGTAATGAGGTACAGAAGGAAAGCATCCAGAACACAGAGACAAAAGTAGATACGAATAAGAACAATAGAATAAGTTATCGAGGTGATCCAGGATACCAGAGGGATTTTCTATAGAGCTAAACTTTTAATACTGCTGAAATTGTTGGAGCTGAGAATTACCTTCTACTCGATCAAGTTGGAATAACGGGGAGGCTTTACAAACTTTTTAGGTTCTTTCCTACTTGACAAAGGTGATAAGGGATTATTTGAGAGATAGACAACTATTTAATGTACAAAACAATAGAAGGATAGATAACCAGGGAGATAACCCCACACGTCATGCAAGGATCTACATTTATGACTTATTAAACGGACTTGTGGAACATGGTTTGACTTTCTGAGACAGGATGTCTGAGAGTACATTTCTCGTCACTTATGCGGACGAAGTTGCCATAATAATCGTTGTACATTCATCGGAATTGGCAAAACTGACACTAAACATGGACATAATATGAATAAATAGCTAAGATAAAAGAACATAAATTAAATCACGCGTTAAAAAAGAGGGAATTACTGTTACTGATGTGGTAGAGAATCAAAACGATCATACTGATGAGAGTTATTAACGTTCTGTCCTTACATACAATAGATGATCGAGTATACGGCGATAAAAGTAACTTCGTTTAGCTACTTGATGTCTAATACTTATGGACTGAAACAAAAAAACAAAGACTTTGCTTGTAAATGCTTTACTCAATCCTATAATATAGGGTAAACATCTGAGTAGATGCTCTTGAGGCTACAAAATGCCGGAAAAGATTACAAAAACAGAGGGTAGTTAAGATTACAACAGTCAAATGGACGAGATGTTTAATATATCATCTGTAACCCTAGTTGAAAAGAATATTTGAAGGAATAAATTTTTATCTCACTCAGTTCCTTACTGGTTACTAGTATTTCAGAAGTTTCCTCCAAAACTGACAACTACAATACGGATACCAAACTGCTCTATTTCTGTACATGACAAAGACGACGTGGAACATATATTTTTTGTATGTTCACATTGGATCACTCACAAGCAACAGGTAGAAGCACGAACCAGGTGCGGCATCGTATCTGACTCAATTGTTGGGACGATACTGCAAAGTGAAAAGAACTGGACTTTGGTCGTTATTTTATTGAGAAGAGAGAATATGAAAGAACAGCGGATGGGTAGACGAACGGATTAACGACACGTACGAAAAGGACTCTAGCGGTGAAGTAATGCTAATGCAGTTCCACGTTGGAGGGAAGCCAAAGGAGATGTTACGACTCAGTAGTCGCAAGTTTTATCGGTCTGCCTTTTCGCACGATGTTCCAGCTGTGGTATACTACGGTGTCAACTAAGGAGGGAAGGTGTCTAATACAATGTCGATGAGGATTTTTCAGTTTTTTAACCATCTTAAAAAAAATTTTAGTTAATAATTAAAAATTAATTTCTTGTGGCGTATATAAATTTGGTATCATAATAACATTAATATTAACCTTGTGAAGTTAAACAAACCTCAGATTAGGATTCAAAGTGCTCTTCCACCATGACAACGCACCGGCTCACACCTCCGCCGTCGCCATGGCCAAATTGGTCGAATTAGGCTACAAACTGCTGTCTCATCCACCGTATTCTCTAGATTTAGCCCCGTGCGACATCTTTTTGTTTCCAAACTTGAAAAAGTCCTTCGCCGGGCAGAAATTTGAGTCGAATGAGGAGCTAATCGCTGCCACGGAAGCCTACTTTTCAGACCTCGAGGAAACGTATTTTTCAGATGGGTTAAAGAAGTTGGAGCATCGCTGGGCCAAGTGTATCGAACTAAAAGGAGACTATGTTGAAAAATAAAACGCCAATTTTCCAAAATTTTCGTTTTTCTTTTGTAGGCTAACAATAAGTACTTATCGGACCACCCTCGTATCTTAGACAAAATCTTACGCTATTAGTCGGAAGCAAGTATCAAATACAATAATCAAACGAGATTAAGACGATGGTTAACCTCGCAATGAGAACGAGGTGAGGGTTCCCAATCAGAATTATAGTTAACATGCACTTGAATGCAACTAGGAAAATAATAATTTTTAACCCATTTCCATTGTGAATGAACGAACTTATTCTATATAATATTAGCCCGAAATACTTTGATATTTTTCAACTTATCCATACCTTAGCAAATTCAAAAGCAACTACAGTTGCGGGCAAAAGTGTCCGGCCAAAGTTGTTTTTATGTTTTGATCATGTATAAATGATGCAAAGTAGCAAAACAAACATATCTTAGTAAAGTACTTTTATTATGCATTCAAATGATGTTGTCCAACAATTTGTTATAATGCTTAACAAAATTTTATATGGATAATAGAAAATATGGCTTATTCATAAGTATCCGGCCAACTATTACGTAGATACAATTCGCGTGGCTTTGTTTACATTGTCGGTCACAAAGGTATGTAAGCGCTGGAACTGTCTATCAGTTATGCTCTGACATCAGTATCAATCGGTAAACATGCCAAAACGCACGTCTGTAGATATTCGACAAGTCGTAATTAAATTACACAATGAAGGAAAGGTTTCTCGTGATATATCTAAAATTCTAGGCATAGGAAAATCGACTGTGAATGATATAATTATTAGATTCCACAGCACTAACACTCTGAAAGATAAAAAAAGTTCTGGGAGACCAAGAAAAACCACTAATCGTGTTGACAAATTGATCAAAAGAAAAGCTGTCGTAGATGTTAAAAAGAATGCTGCCATTATTGCACGCGAATTACGCGAAGAAAATATAGCAGACGTCAGTCGTAGTACTGTATCACGTAGACTGAGAGAAGTGGGACTTGTTGGATGTGTTGATGTGGAAAAACCACTTATTAGTAAGAAAAATACGAAGGCCAGACTAGAATTTGCTAAAAAATATGAAAGCTATACTGTTGAGGACTGGAAAAAAGTGCTGTTCTCGGATGAAACTAAAATCAATGTATTTGGAAATGACGGTAGAAGGTATGTGCGGCGACCGGTAGGTAGTAGATATGATTCAAGATACCAAATACCGACTGTGAAGCATGGTGGAGGTAGCATAATGCTATGGGGTGCATTTTCATGGAAAGGCGTCAGTCCAATCTTCAAAATAGAAGGCACTATGGACTCTGTCATGTACAAGGATATTATATTGGAGCAAATGCTACCTTATGCTCGACAAAACATGCCCAGAGGGTGGATATTTCAGCAGGATAATGATCCAAAACACAGGTCACACCTCCTTCAGCAAGTTTTTAGTAAGAAAAAAATTCGAGTTTTACAGTGGCCGAGTCAGTCTCCAAACTTAAATTCTATTGAACACTTCTGGCAAGAGCTAAAAATGAGATTAGGAAATCAAAACTATTCTAATAAAGCCTCCCTATGGCAAAAAGTGCAAGAAGAGTGGAACAATATCTCTCATGATAGGATTGTGACACTTATTGAATCGATGCCTCACCGATGTGCTGCCGTGATAGCTTCTAATGGTACGGCTACGAAGTTCTGATGACTATGTTACATTTAAAACCATTTCTAGTTTGTTTTGTTTCATGTTACTATATTTTTTCTACTTGTAATTGCCACATTCATAGTTGGCCGGATACTTATGAATAAGCCATAATTGTTATTATCGATATTAAATTTTGTTGATTGTTTAAATGAATTGTTAAATTACATGTTTTGAGTATATATTAAAAGTACTTTACGATGATGTATTTGTGTTGCCACTTTCCACCCTTTGTACATGATTAAAACATAAAAACAACTTTGGCCGGACACTTGCTCGCAACTGTATAGTGAATAAAAGTATATACAGATACTTTATTAAAAAGAAATAAGTACATAAAATTGAATATACATGTAATAAGTAGAAAGATTTTATGAAAATAAAATAGTATTTACCTGTTAGTTCTATCCACTTGATTTCGATTATTTTGTTTATGTTTTAAAAATGTTCTGTTATTGAATAATAAATTATTATCATTTTTCGTGTTCGTTACAGAAATACTTGATTGATAACTATGTCCCTCAATATTATAAACTGATAATATTGTTTCAATTTCATGTCCATTACGTATTGGCGACTGATCTATTAAAAAAAATGAAGATCTATTAAATAAATGAAGATTTTAAATCTATTTCTGAAATAAAATTAGAAAAACTCATTATTATCACTTAAGAACTTGGTATGCTCAATTTTTATGCTATTAGTATGTGACGGGCGAATCGATCGTAGAATCCGATCGCCCTGTTCGCCTCTCTCTCTCTTCCGCGTGCCTTCCCCTGAGCCGCTGCCACATCGGTCTTGGTTGAATAAAACCGAGTATCGACGCACGATGTGGCTTTGTTGCAGGTCTGATTCCTGATCGGCGGAGATGCCTGGCGTTAGAGGGATAGGCGTGAGCGGGGAGCAGAGGAGGAGAGAGAGAAATAGTGTCGCGCCGGCATGAGTCGCACATGTGTGCGTAGCCGGCGGCGCTCGGTCGTTTTTGAATACCTATAGGAAGGAGCGCGTAAGAAATCGCGGAAGGCGCGAGATCTCAGTCAGTAGGGTTTCGACCGGTGACTAATTGCCAGCTATTCAAGCCTTGTGACTAGCATCAGTGAGTGTTCGAGTAGTTGATTGCCATTGAACGACCATCAGTAAGAAGGAAGACCGGCTGCATCCAGAATCCCACCTTTCGAGGACGACATCGTTTGCTCAGAGGACGCGGACTTCCGCAGCAGCGCTCCCTCTCAAGGTCAGGTACCCTTTTTGTTTCTCGGTGCGTGCCTCGATTTCTCTCTCTCCTAGCATCGTATAGGCCGGACGCGGACGAGCGGTTGCATGCGTGAACTCGCATCGCCCTCGCGGAATTCGCGAGACACGTTGTAAGGTGACGTTCTGTTTCCTGTGCGTTAATTTGCACGGAACGAACTTAGCCCGGACTCGACCGACGCACACGTCAACGCCGAATGTATATTATTGTTGCAATAAAGAGTAAAATAGTTGAATTGATGAGTTTATTCTGTTTAAACCTGTCTCTCTTGTAATTGATTAAATTGCGATTATCTATATTACCAGACGAAATAGCCCTCGTTAAATTTTCGCGACGAAGCGAATGCGCCTTCCGAGCCTTTCCCCTTAAATAATTTGTGACGCAACGTTGTTCGGGCTTAAATTACTAACGTACGTGTTACATGGCATCCCTTGTGGGGAAATCGCGGAAATCGGGATTCAGATGATCGCGAGAAAGAGAGACAGGACGCGAAATTATAAAATAGAAAAGTAATTCGCGTAGACAAAAGAATTTGAAAAAGTCGGTTGAGGCCGAGAGGGGAGGTGATCGAACGATCGGCCGAGCTGCGTAGAGTCGCGGCTTGAGCGGTGTTTGTTTACATTCCTCATCTCGGGTTCACAGAGAGCGCCGATCGAGAGAGAGATACGAGGCCGAAATTGTAGCATGGTTGTGTTGTCGTCGCTATACTCAGGCACGGGCGAGTGAGTCATCGACCTAACGTGTCGAAGGCCACTATTCACTATACCCATGGTATACGGCCAGTAAAAGGACGGCTAGACGAGTCCATTTAAGAAGCGGGTGTTGTCAGTGTAGTTAGTTAGATACTTAAACGGTATGGCAATTGGGTACTAATCTGTTTTGATCAGCGGATTATAAAGATGCGCCCTTGCCTGGGAGCCGCGACGAGAGAGAGAGTAGTTAGTATTTGTGTTTTTATTTTGAGATTAAGGACGCAGAGCAGTGCGTATAATTCGCACTGCCTGAAAGTTTATTTTATATTATTGATTACCCGCGTAATAATTTGACCTATGGGCAATATATTGCCAATATATTTCCCACACCTATGGGCAATATGTTGCCAACATTTTGGATCAGGTATTGGCAACATATTAGCAATATGGTGCTTCAGACCACTTAGCAACATTTCGGCAACATGTTACAAAAGTATTGCAAACCTTGCGCCAACATATTGCTAATATATTGATATTTGATTTGAAAAATATTGCCAACAGTTCAGTTTTTATTTTGATTCTAAATATTTCTAAGTTATTATAATACATCGGGAGACGAGAAATACAAGGCACAAGTGATTAAAGGAACTGTAATGCTTTATTTTTATAATTTTTTGAATACAATATATTATTTAATTTTTAAACCTTAATTTAGTTTTTATTTGAACGATTACTTTTCATAAAAAATCCGTGAAACTTGAAATAGTAATTAACACTAATTAATTAACTATAACGAAAAGTAATCGAAATAAGACTCACATTGATTCTTGAAAGGCGTTTAAAAAAAAGTAACGAAAAATAATAGAAATGAAAACATTTATCTTTCTTTGGGGTGGCGTAGTGTGCCACACATGTAATTGACCACGTTTGTGAATTCTTGTGGTTTCAATCTCCTGCTACACTTCTTATTGACATAATCTAAAATTTTTTTTAAATTTGAAAAATTTAAAACAATTATAATTAATACGCATGTAAAATAGAAAGCTATAAAACTTACACTCAACGCATTTCATTATGTCCTCAGGAACTCCTCTGCGTCCTCTAGACTTTCCTCGTGCACACATGTTTTTCAAGTTTTCTTTTCCAACAAGAATTGTTAATAAGCTTCTTGTCATTTGTTTAGGATCCTCCATGTATCTTTGGATAAAGTCCAGTTCGCCTTTGTCAACCCATATGTTATAATTTTTGCAAACAAGAACTCGTCCATCTCCTGGTCTGCGACACATTTTTAAAGGATTTTCCTTAGGAGTACTAGTCGGATTCTGTGGAATAGAATAGAATAGAAAATAATTTTTAGTATTAGTTCGCAAAATGCTCATTTTGCGCACTGCTCTAACCTTAAAACATACCATAATTTTGAATTAACCGCACGTCGTACTAAAAAATACTGTTTAACATAAGTGTGAAAATTGATTAAACCTCCGTGCAAACATTTTGCACTCGCTTCGCTTGTGCAAAAACGTTCGCACTAGAATTTAAAAGGTAAAGGTACTATTAAATGCACTTTAAGTGGCGAAATTTTGAAATGAGTTAGAATCCTCGAAAAATAGAAAAATCGCTACGGATTTCCGTTTCACGAAAAAGCCTCGTTTGGAAAATGTTAGTATACCCACCAGTTCCACAGTTTCTTCATAATCTTCTTCTGATAGCAGAGAGGGAGAACGATCTCGTGGACGTTTTTTATTTACTTCATCTGCCCTTGATAATGCAGTGGCAAGATGTCGTTTTTGCAAATTCTCTATTTGTGGTGGACTGGTAATTACGTGAAATTGAAGATTGCTCTCCTGCAAAATAGTAGGTAAACTATAGCGGTTCTGCTATGTAAAAACCTATAGCGGTTTTTACTTCTGGCTCCTCCTTTTCCCATCACTCTGGCGCGCAAGTAATCAAGACTCCAGACTGGTCGTGTCAAACTGATGGGAAAAGGAGGCGAAAGTCCAAACTCAAAGCAACTTTCGTGTCTGCAGGTGTCAAGGTGTTAGGAAAGTCAAAGACCGATCAAACTTTTTGCGCGGGTAAAACACTTTTTCTTTACAAAATTTTCTCTGGCACCCAAAACGGAGCTCAATCGATTGGGTGCTATGCGGGCCCTTTTCAGGGCTAAGTAATCCAGACTGTTTTGTGATCGCTGAACCGCTATAGCTTTTGAGATCGCAGAACCGCTATTACTTACTCAAAATAAAAAAATAAATGTTGTTTTTTATAGCAAAATAAATTTAAACAATAAAAACAGATAAACACGTGATTAATGTAGTATAAATTTAATCTCATATAAAATATAAACAATCGATTACCTTATTAGCAGTAGAAGTTGACGCGATTGATTCCTTAATCCTTGGACGATCTTTCGATTTTCTCAATTCCTCTATTTCTCTCTGTAATCTTTTTATTTTTTCCTCTGGCGTTTCATTTCTCGCAGTTGATGTCAATTCATTTAATTCAGGCTCCGAATCTTCTGAATTCCACTCGATCGTTTTGTTTAAAGCGTCAGGTTCAGCCTCCGAATTATCGTCACCGCTGTCATCCTCGAAAATTGACCTTTCCTTCATCAAAGTAGCTTTTGTTAGCTTTTCTTTTTCGGCTTTATTTTTTGCAGCTTGTTTTTCTTTATTCTTTATCTGCATACTTAATGCTTCTGCTTTTGAATCTGTTGTGTTTTTTCCTTTCTCCATTATTTCTCCATTGATAGTTACAGGTAGGCACTCTAAGTAATCTTTATCAGCTGTCAAACATAAAATTATTTTCATTTGTAATAATATTATCACATTAGAAAAGTCGTAAGAAAGAAAAAAGAAAATGCATCCTCATGCGAGATAAACAAAATATTTGCGCCGTTCGCTAATAGAACGTTACAAGCCAGAGTTTGTCGTTTCGAGGAAACGTGATTTAGATTAGCACAGGTAATAACGAACGAACGGCTCATTGTGCGAATTTCCAATTTGCGTATGTACTACTATGAAAGCTTGTAATTCTACCGTATTTTCATTGATCAATTCGCTATGCGATGAAATTTATCATGATAATGAAAAAGATATTTTACTTACAACTCTTTCGCAAAATTTTCCCTCGATACAACTTTTTATTTGTGTATCGCACGCTTGTTTCTTCTCCTTCAGCTTTCTCAGGACACAAACTTTCGATGGGCACTATACTAATTTTTTGTATGCCCTTCCAAAAAATCAGAGCAAACATTTTGTTTGTCTTTACCTCAATGCAAAATATAAAACTTTTTCTCAATGCAAAATCTATTGACAAGCGAGCAAAATGTTAACCTGTAAGCGTAGCAAGATACATAACAACAACGTGACGTTTGCAGCTATGATGTGTTCGATAAAGTTTGTTTATTGACAGGCATTCACACATAAAATAAAAAATGTTGTAAAAAGTACACATACTTACTCGTTATAAAAAATGCCAAAGCGTGCTTTAAGTTTTAGTAATTTTTCTCTTGAAATCCAAAAACGTTCCAAAAAGCTATTTTTCAATACTCTGCATGAACCGATTTTCGAACAACCCCTAGAAAGCGAGTGCACTTAACTAGATGTAGATGTAAGTCGTTTTGAGATTTAACAACAAAT